TGGCCACACCCAGCCAATAACATGACCACCAAGCCACGGTCACCTAGTCACATGACCACCAAACCATGCCCACCAACTAAGCCACGCCCACAGAACTGGTTGTTAAAAAATTTGAATCCCACCCCTGGAGAAAAAAACAAAGGAAGATTGGTGGTGGTAGTGGTGTTTTTTTAAAAAAAATTACAAGACCTCCCCTCTTCTCTTCGTTCAGCTTCCATTCTTTTCCTAGTTATCGGTGAATTGTTCCTCCAGTCGTCCCGAGCATCTGCATATGTGCTTGCAGGATACATCAGTTGGGGAGCCAATTTTGCCTCGGCGATACTATTTCTTCTGACTAAAGTAAGGCAGCACATGGCCCTGTTCGCCTCTCCCACCCACCCCCTAGGCTGCTAAATAGCAAAGGTTGGACACTGCTGACCTAAGGGGCCTGTAATCCCTTTGGAAATTTAAAAAGTAAAGAAAATATATTACAGAAATATTATTTAAAAACTCCATGGCTTTTTTTTTTCCAATAAGGAGGTGACCATACAACAGAATTCTTTGTATCTCTGAGTTTGCTCTCAGTATTTTTTAATTTTTTGTTTCTGTCTCCAGTCCTACCTTGGGCCTTACTTCTTGCTCATTTACTGGCCTTTGATAGTCCTCACCTATATTTACATTTTCCGAGTAGTCCCGGAAACCTGTGGCAAGACGTTTCAAGAAATCCAGGAGAACGTGGCAGCCTGCACCTCCAAAAACTCTAGGAAAATAATGGCTGAATAGAAATGGGAAATGTTTTCAAAATTGACCTGGAATTTAAAAAATGAAATAAATCAGAATCTCTCTGCAAGCTGGATGGATTTATTTGTATTATTTTTAAGTGTACAATGCTACATAGTAGTTTGGCCCTCACCCCAAAAAAGATCGGGTTGTAAGCTTAACAGAGATGTGTAAGCAGAGATGTCGGGGGTGTCAGTCCTGCGAGGTAGGCCAAAGCTGAAAATATGGCACCAGAGCAAACAAAAAGTATAGTCACCATGTGCTTTACTGCTCAACTATATTACTGTAACAGGAAACAGGAAAGTCAATAAGAACAAAAGTGTCATGCCCCTGTTGGAATCTGATTCTGAGGGAGAGGTGGAACAGCTGATAGGGAGTGGCAGTGTGGCTCGATGGCTGTGGAGGAAACTGGGGAAGGGCACAGTCCGGCTGGGCATTCAGAGGAAGACCCAGGCCCACCCCCCTCTTCATCCTAGGGCAGGCAGGGAGGAATAGAGAAGGGAGCAATATGAGTTGCATGGTTTACGGGGGAGGAAAGGGCCCTGATCCCCTTCATTGTCTGCAGCTGGGAAGACTGTTTAAAAGGGCAAACTGCGCACGGCAAAGCTGCTGGAAGCAAAGCATGAAATTATTCTGGTTTGTCAAGTCTTATCTGAGTTCTGACTTCCTCCCAGGTGTGTGTGTTTTGTTATCTTTTGACGTCTTCAATCCCTTATCCTGCCCTGTCTTGTTAATTGCTGCAGTGTGGTTTGTGTTGGTTTTTATTTATAATTTATATGTACTTTGAGTTTGGATGGAATTTCTTCCCTTTAAAAACTGTTCTTGGGAGAGTTTTTTCTCCAGACGATGATAACTGGACATTGGGGGCCAAGTTGGAAGTATTAAAGAGACGTTACCTATTTTTGTGACTTTGTTGTTTTTGTGCCGCGCCCCTTTGGGTCGTCACAAAAAGCATAGAGCAGGGATGTCAAACTCAAGGCCCAGGGTCCAGGTCTGGTCCACAGGGTGCTTAGATCTGGCCCACGGGACCTCCCTGGAAACAGCAAATTCATTCCAACAATGAATTCCAACAATCTTTAAGGCTGCAGGCCCTGGGAATGGAGTTTCACCAGCCTAAATACCTCAGCACTTCCCAAAACGTCTCGGGGGTGCCAGATTGGGCACACATGGATGGACTGGGGGTGTGGGGGTGTGGAGAGCTGAGGCAAGCAAGGGATTAGTATTGTATTGATATGTGGGAACTTCAGATTCTGCCTGACTCCACTGCAATCAGCATCTCTTCGTAAATGCAACTTTTCACTCCAATCAAATGGAGTCGATAGTTTCCCTTCCTAGGAGATGAGACTGTGACAGGCCTGACAGTTATTTACCGATGAGCATACTTAATAAACAGGCATGGGACTACCCATCGAGACCCCGGGGCCTCATTTCAAACCCAGATTATTAAAATAAACGATTTGCAGATTAGAAAAAAAAAGTGTCAACGCTCAAAAATCGCTGCACACGGCGGCCTGAAGGAAGGACGAAAGCAAAGTTTTTTGGGGGGAAAACCAACAACCTTCCTTCTCTAACACCATCCTGGCCCAAAGCAAAACATGTCACTCAAGCACAAGTTTATTGAAGAAGGCAGATAGGTCCCCCAAACGGAATTCTCCGTTCAAACTCGGTTCCTGTTTACAAAAAAAAAAAAAAAAAGGCATTTAACTGGGTCAGTGAAATCCACAGGTAATGCTTTTCTGCACTGTGCAGTGTGTCTTTGTGTTTTCTATATGTTTATTATTTGTTTTGGCAACCGGAATACAATGCGGAACAGAAAAACTTACATCCAAGGTTTGCCTTAAGGCCGCTGGACTTCCCTATGGAATATAACTGATGTTACGTTCCCTATGGAAATGTATGCAAATCAGCATCTAACTGCCAACCGCTTCTCCCGGAATGTTCCCACCTCCTTTCCCTGATTGGCTCCATCTGCGCCCCCCCGGTGTTCGTTCGAAGCGAAATTCGGCTGAGCAAACGCAGTTTTGTCTCTTTTTCACGCCATGGGACACAAAAAAGCTCAGTGAGTTGACATTTATATTCCCATCCTTTTTTATTTCCAGCCTTAAATGCCACATCTGGAGACTGGCGTTCTCCAAACGAATTAAACACAGATCTCTCAAGCTGACGTTCGAAAGAAAAGACGGGGGAAAAGTTTCTTGTTTTTGTCTGACCCCCTTCCCTCTAATTTCCTCTTTTGAGAAATGCTGTCCATCGGCAGCAATGGAGCCTCCCTAATCCGCATCAGTCTACCTTTGAACGGGAGCCACCCAGGGAGCACAGGTTGCTGAGGCTCTCTGGCTGGTTTCAGGGGCAGCAACAGCTCTCAAATATGTTTGAAGAACGAACAAAGGGACAGAGTTTTTTTCTTGTTTCCTTTCTTTCTTTTGCTCGATCAGGGCTCCCATCTCCAGAAGGACAGATGGCAAAGGGGAATTGAAACCCAAAATCCGAAATTATGTGAGTTTGGCATTATCGGATAAGTTGGGGTGAGACTAAGATGGTGGTTCTCTTGATCGGTTATTGTTTTAGCCTTCAGCCCAAGGCAGGGCGTAATTTGGGGCTCACCCCAAAATGACACAATTAAAAATTATTTCCAAGGGAGGTTTTCTGTTACTCTGGAATATATTTTTAAGGCAGCAACCTCGACGTGTCCATGAAGCCCACAAGTCAAACATGATATAAAACCAGTGGTGGGATATAAAAATGTTTATTACCAGTTCTGTGGGTGTGGCTGGGTGGGTATGGCAGGGGAAGGATACTGCAAAATCCCCATTCCCTCCCCACCCCGCTAACCTGCTTTCCAGCTCCGTTCTCCTGTGCAGGGCAACAAAAGACCCTGCTTTCCAGCTCCGTTCTCCTGTGCAGGGCAACCCAAGAAGACCCAGCCGATCAACTGGGACTCAATGGGAGGCAGAGAAGAGATGGGGTTGGCGGGGCCAGTCAGAGGCGGGATTGGCCGGTTCTCCGAATGACTCAACATTTTGGCTACCGGTTCTCCAGAACTGGTCAGAACCGGCTGAATACCACCTCTGTATAAAACCACTTTACCTTTTTGAAAAAGAAGAAACATGGCTTACACAATTCCAGTAACCATTGTTTGTTTTCCTTCGCTTGAAGCTGACCACCGCATTGATTATTCCGATGTTGGTTTCGTATCTCGGACATTTTCAGTATGGCTACAGTCTCTTTCTGGTGCATCACCCAGCTTCGGTAAGTCTCGCCAAGTAAACCAGGGTTTGTCTGGCATGGGGAGCCCCCCCGACTGTCCCCCTAGTAATCCTGTTCGAATATTTTGGGTGAACCTGGGTAGCGTGGCACCCCGGCTGAGGTTTTGTTATTTTTTTTATTAAGCATATAACATGCAAAGGGGAAAAAACCTCAAAGTGATAGGAAAATGGGAAAAGGAAAGAGAGAGTACGAAAAAAGAAGGAATAAGAGGGCGGCAGCGGAGGAAGTACCATCAAATACAAAATACAATCACAGCCTCAATTTTTTACGGCTGCAACTTAAGTAATGTGTCATAAATGTGTGGGTATGTGGGTATGTGCATAATGGTTATCTTTTGAAAGCTAAATAGAATGGAATTTCATTTTAATGTATGCTGATTAATGTACATTTAAAGTGGCAATAAAGTATTCTATTCTATTCTATTCTATTCTATTCTACTCTACTCTACTCTACTCTACTCTACCC